ATATGGTTTGTGTCCAGGAGGTTCCGGATGAGTTTCGGGGTGGTTTCAGATCATTTCGGAGAAGTTTGAGTTTGCTGGTTTCTGGTGAGGTACTGTTCATTTGCAATTGCGAATAATTTATCACAATTGCGATGATTTTGGATTTTAGTGCAGTTCGCAATTGCGATCATTGTTCATTGGAGGTTACTGTTCATTCGCAAATGCAAAGTTTTTGTCCGCAAATGCGACCTGGGCAGAAACTTAAGGATTAAAAATCTGTCATTTCTTCATTTTCAATTGTGATTTTTGGAACTCAGTTTTTGGGAGATTTTGAGAATTTCTTCACGACTTCGACTGGGGTAAGTGTTCTATACTCAAAAATAATTATATTTCATAAATTCATGATTATATTCATCGTTTAATTCGGATTTTGGTGGAAGAAATTGAAATTTTTGCAAAATCTTTTTAAAACAAAAATTTAAAATTTAGAGGACGATTTGTTATTGGAATTCGATTAAATTGATATGATTGAACTCGTATCGGAATGGGTGTTCGAATTTCGTAAATAATTTATCGCGTTCCGAGAGGCGGGCCACACGTTGACTTTTGGTTGACTTTTTAATGTAAAATTTTAAGTCGACGTTTTATTATCCGAAATTATTTTCGATAAGTTTTAATGAAGTCATACAATTAATTTGGATAGATTTGAGCTGTCCGGAGGTTAATTCAAGCAAGAATGCTATTTTAGAATATCAACATAACTTCAAAAAGGTATCTTGCCTAACCTTGAGTGGGGGAATTACCCCTTCGGCATTGAGTCTTATGTGAAAAAATTGTGTAATTGAAAACCATGTACGCGAGGTGACGAGTACGTACTTGGTTTATACGTGCAAATTATATCGGTTAAATTCATTCCTTGTTTGCCGGGATTGTTTTTATATGATAATTTAGTGTGATTGCCATTTTGATTTTTATGTGAAATACCGTGGTTAGTTGGGTTGACATTTCTTGAAAATAATTTCATTATGGACTTTTCCATATGCAAATAATTATTAAGTTTAAAATGAGACATTAATATATATATTTATCAAAATTTGAATTAAAGAAGGTGTTGTCTTATGCTGTGTTACTTTTCCATCTCTGTTGTTATTTTGAGGTTTTATATACGTTGTGTGGAGCCTTGGGCTATTTGTTGTGAAATTTATTAGTTTTGTTATATTTTTGGAATTAGTTGTGGGCATTGGAAAGTTTGTGATAGGAATTGATCGTATTGTGTTGTCGTGATAATGTTCCATGTGAATTATTGTATGATTTGAGTTATTATCATGAGGACATAAGGGTGGCATTCCACTGTTAATATTGTGTGGGTATAAGGGCGGCATTTCACTGTGGTTATGTGTGTTGGAATATTATCTGGGCGGAATGATAAGGGTGGCTATAAGAGCGATAAGGGTGGCTATTGATATTGTCAGGGCGGAGGGATAAGGGTGACTATTATTATGGAGTGATACAGGTAGCTATAGGAGAGCTAGGGGTGGCTATTGTCAGGGATGATACGTGATGATGCGGGATTAATGTGTTGGTAATTTTTATATGATGTTGTAATTTTTCTAGTGTTTATTTTTATCTCTTGTGCAACTTGTCTTGTTGTTTCGGTAAACTTCATAATAGTCTGATCTATGTTGAAATCGTGAGCGTATGGCTATTGTTGGGCAGATTATGTTATATGGGATCGGGTTGCATGCCGCACCATGTATGATTAATGTTATATAGGATCGGGTTGCACGCCGCAACAGATATAAAATGTGGGCACGGGGTGCGGGGGAAAATACGATAATTTTATTATTGGCATGTGAGTTGTCCGTGCGATTTTGATAGAAATATGGGCACGGGGTACCGTAAAAATATGAAAGTGGGATGAGACCGGTGTTTTATGATTATGAAATGATATGCCACAGAGTGACTTTTATTTGAAGGAATTTATATTCGAAAGACATCTATTTGAAAGAAGTATATTTAAAAGATATTTATTTGAAGGAATTTATATTCGAAAGACATCTATTTGAAAGAAGTATATTTAAAAGATATTTATTTGAAGGAATTTATATTCGAAAGACATCTATTTAAAAGAAGTATATTCGAAAGATATTTATTTGAAGGAATTATATTCGAAAGACATTTATTTGAAGAAGTATATTCGAAAGATATTTATTTGAAAGAATTTTATATTCGAAAGATATTTATTTTGAAAGAAATATATTTGGAAGGTATTTATTCGAAAGAATTATATGTGAAAGATTTATATTTGAAAGACTTGTTTAATTGGTTGTACTTGTATTCCTTATTCGTTTGAGTAATAATTATGTTGTTCTTGTTGCCTTACTGTTTATATCACTGGTTGATTTTTTTTTTTGCTATCACTGCTAGTTATTTTTCAGTACTATTGTATACTGCTATATTGCACATGTTATTTGACTAGTGAGTGTCTTGACTGTACCTCATGGCTACTCCACTGAGATTAGTTTTGATACTTACTGGGTACCGACTATGGTGTACTCATACTACACTTCTGCACATTTTTGGGTAGAGCCAGGTATTGGAGATATCAGACTCGGACAGAGTTAGTGTGTTAATCGCAAGGATTCAAGGTAGAGCTGCTTGGTCTTCGCAGTCCCTTGGAGTCTTTCCATTTTTTTGTACTGTCAACTCTTATTCGAACAATATTGTATATTCGATCCTTAAGATCATTGCATGTATTCAGTTAGAGTTCGTGACTTAGTATTACCAGTCTTGGGAGGTTGTTATAATTATTTCCGTTGTTGGTTTCGACACTTGTATTAAATTATATGTTAAAAAAAATGGCTCGAAATGAAATTATAATCGGCTTACCTAGTCTTAGAGACTAAGTGCCATCACGACGCCTGTGATGAGATTTTGGGTCGTGACACAAAATTAAGGGTTTCTGGTTCTGTTTGACGAGCAAAAATTAAGTTTTTGTATTATTAATTTGCATTCACGTAATTGTATTAGTAGTTAAATTTTCTTCGATATATTTATAAACTTTGTATTTGTATTTATATTTACAGTATTTATATTAATAATAGTTAAATTTTACATTCACGTATTCAACCAATACATCTTTATTTTAGTCTTCTTGATTGTGAACTTTGGTTAAATAGTTAGCTTTTTGCATTAGATTGTTTGCTTCACCCTTTCGTCAATCTATTTTTTTTACTAGTTGTACTCGCATTAGACCTTACCTCTGTGTTGGTTGTCTAATATTGTATCAGTTTTTAATAGATTTCATATTGAACAAAATTATAAATAAAATTTTTTACTTAATATTTTATAATCAACTAAAATTTTGGTTATAAAATTTTCCTTATTTGAACTAAGTAGGGAGTCCTAATATTTAGTAATTTAAAATCATTAATATTTTTTCATATATAATTTTATTTTATTTGAACGATATAAAATACCCATAATTTATTTTTAAAACTTCATCGGTCGAATTGAACAATAATGGAATGTAAATTCTATATGTACTCTGATTTGTAATGGAATGTGAAAACAATCCTTCCCTTATAGTTATGTGGCCAATGATTTTGTTACTTCGAATTCATGCACAATTCAAAACTATTTCCGAAGAAACATCAAAAATAATAGTTCCGATGTTAAATATGTTGAGGAATCAAACTTCTTTGAAAAGAGTTTTACGTTAAAACTTTAAATCTTCAAAATTTATTTTTTCTTGCTGAAATTAATAAAGAAATATGATAACTTATGAAACTTAAAATATTTATATTATAAATTTGAAATTAATTTTAAGTTACCTATTGATTGAGATGATAGTATATTTATGGGATAGATTTTCATCCTTTATTGAATAACTAAATAAGATTAACAATTAATCATTTTAGGAACTCAATTATAATTTTAATATTTTACCTTATAATTAAAATATAATAATATAGAAAATTAGTACTGATTGAGATGAGGTACACGCGCAACCCGCGTATTCTAAGACTAATTAATTAAAATGGACTAAATATAACCCTAAGCAACCAAAAGGGGCTTCTATGCGGGTGAAATCGAGCTCATGGTATATCCCGACTTTCGAAAAAATAAGCCAGGCTCGAGACATGGCGGCAAGGGACCGAAATCGAGCCAAAGTCCCACCGGGCCAGAACCCGGGGGCATGACGCCTGCCCTCGAGAATATCGAGGCCATGGTCCCGGAATCGATCCTAGCCTCGAACGACTTCGAAGAACATTGTCAGACAATCCAGCATAGCTAACAGAAAGCCTAAATATTCGTGAACGGCCGAATATCACAACGGAAATCTCTGCACGTATCGATAAGGAACCGGCAATCAATGAATCAAAAGATTTTTTTACCTTTTATAGAGTTGTACCTAAAGTAGAGCTCCCCTACTATATAAAGGGGGTCTGATAATTCATGAAGCACATTGTAACACGCACTCAAAATCAATATATTATTATTTTTCTTTGTCTTTAACTCTTGTTCTTTTTCATCTGTACCGGTCGTGGTGAGCCCGGCTCGAGAGTGACTATTTAACTAAGGCTGAAACTATCCAATTCGTGTGGTTTGAATTTATTTTATATTTGTTTATTCAATAGTAACTTAATTTATCGCTTTGCATCAGGTTAATCCGCGTATCCTTAAAATCACTTATAAATTTAATTATTATCCGATTTTGAGGGTAAACAAGGTCAAATATACTTACATGTGGCTTCCGCCGTTAGTAGGAGAGGCATATTTGGACAATATAATTTTAATTATTCAGGGGTATAGTTGAACCAGAAGAAAATAATAATAAGGGTATTTCAACAGGTATTTATAGACCTTGTCTAATAGATCAAGGACAATTTGGGTCCTGTTTCGTTAAATATAGTCGACTTCTTGTTAGTATGTTGCAGTTTCGTATCCTTTGTCCCATTATCATGAAGGTCAACAAACTAGATCTATATGATATCAAAACTGAAAATAAAAAGAAAATATAATACAACAACTTTCTTATAATTTATTCATTAAATAATAGTTGCACATAACCAAACTATAAAGTTTTGAAACTGCAAATACATAATCTTTTTGCATGTAAAAATTAAGCAAACATTTGAAAGATTCAAAGATTCAAGAATAGTCGTCGCTAGATTCGCGTTCCCTTTTAAGACTATCAAGAATTTCAAAGATCGTTTTAATCAGTAGGAAAAGTTGAGCATGTCCATGCTTAATTTCTCCATCATAAGAGTCTCCATAAAACCACAGCTATAATTTGGGACAGCCATTGGCATTATCTTCTTATTGTAAGTGCCAATAAATTGGTGATTAAGTTGGCAATTTGAAGAAATAGGCAGCATTGGAAGGTTTTCACAGTTGCAAATTTCAATCATATAGCCATCTGGATCATGGAAAAATACTTGATCTACTTTGATTCCTTCATCTTCTACCACTGCAGTTACATATCTCATTCCCATCTCTTTCAACTTCCTCTTCACCAATTCAACATCAGTGCACTGCTTAATATCAAAAGGATTTAGGTTATATATATATATGCTGACACTAATATTAGAGCAATTTACTTACAATTTTCTATATATGTTCCATTTCATGTGACGAGGTTCCGAATACATATATTCTTTAAATCTTTTGAAATAAAAATTTATATTTAGGAACTTTTACACAGAAATTTCTATAAGTGATCATAGTAATAATTATTATTCAAAATATTTAAAAGCTACTTTTAAAACCATGGCCAAATTAGAAAATTCTCTTTAATTTTCCAAATAGTAATATAATAGTGTCACACAAATTAGAATAGAGAGAGCATTTATTATAATTATTAATTAAATAAAGTTACATACAACTATTTTAGGTATCTCATTATATAAAACTTAAAGTTCATGCCAAAATGTCATATGAATAACAAAAATAACAAGAAAATACATAAAGCTCAATTTATCAGCAGTGGTTTGACTTACCTGAAAGGAAATATGGTTATCCTTTGGATTAATAGGGCGTGGTTCATTGTTGACATCCAAGTCCTCCATAGCTTTATTCTCAAGCAAGTGAATCCCAATGCCATAATTGTAAAGCCTTCAATATTTTAAAGGTAATCTTTTATCAAATTGTTAAGCACTTCAAAATTAAAGATGACATAGGTTACTAAGCTATAATTAATAGATGATTTATATACTCCCTCCATTTATTTTATATTACGGGGTTTTACTGAGTACACAGTTTAAATATTCGTGAAACTTTTGATTGTAAATAGTTCATATTATTTCCGTAAAGATCACGTCATTAAAAGTAAAATAAGAAATTAAATTAGAGTTTTCAAACATTAAAAGGTTCTTTTTAGAACATATAATATAAGCAGGTAAATGTATCATGCGATGGAACATAATTAGGGGTGGAGCTACAATATATACGGGTTTGGACGAACCCAATAACATTTGCTTAGACCATATTTTTGTATTAAGAAATTTATATATATATATATATATATATATATATATATATATATATATACACAAAAAAAATAATATTTAATTACAATCTCAATAACAAAACGAGAGTAGTCAATAACAAGGGCAGAAAACATAAGTTTCAAATCTTGGCTCTGTTTCCGAACAGAATGATGAGCATCATTTAGACTTGAGAAAAGGGAAAGAAAGATAGGGAAAGGAGGGCTAACCAGGCTCCATGGAAATTGAAAGAAGAAGGGCGTTTGACAAGACAGAAGCCCAATACAGCTTCATAGAATTGCACTGAATTCCAAACATCTTTCACCAACAAAGATACATGGTTCAGTGAAAGGAGTGGCAGTTTTTGGTAGATCACTTCCTCAATCTCCATATTCATCTTTTCTCTTCCTCTTTTTCTTCTTCTTCTGCTTATTACTTGTTTGTGCTTGGATCAGCTAGCCTAGAGATGTTGCTTATTTATAAACTGCATTATGGAAAACTTATATAAGTGACATCAAGGAACCTTCCTTTTTTTTTAAGGAACCTTCCTTTTGCTTTTTTTTTTTGATAGTCGAGGTATCCAAGCTATCTTGCGCGTACCTCGATTAATTCCAAAAAGGTGCTTGTACATCTCTCGTCAATGTAGGTATTGAGTATCTATGTCAAATAAGGTTCAGACATATAGAAAGAAATCACATTTTTTCCTCCGCTGAAGTTTGAACCCGAGACCTTCTGCAATAGTTTTCGACCTGCTTTATTGACCACTAGACCACACTCCTAGGTGCGAAGAGGTTCGATATCAAAGAACCTTCCTGGCAAGTTCTTATCATAGAGTATGTAGAGGACAAACATTTGTGATATTTAAGATCTTCTTATGAAATTGTTCAGTTGTGTGAAAGTGGATGTAAACCTATTTACATTTGCCATGCCAAGACACCAATAATGCTACTGTACTCGGCGCAATTATATTGTCCTTAAGTGCTTGAAATGAAAGATACATACGTATATGCAGGGGTGGAGCTACCTTTTATGTTTTGGGTTCGTAATTCTGATCCGAACCACATATTTCACTTAAGAAATTAATTCAAACCACGTATTTCACTTAAGAAATTAATTCAATATGTCAAAATTAATAATTTAGAACCCGGTTGCTTAAAAGAACTAGAATTCCAAACCAATAAGTTTCAAATCGTGGCTCCGCCTCTACATATAGCTACTTATTACTGATGTCATGTGAAAAAGGTTCATATATAACTACTAAACAAAAACATTTGTTGTAAATAAATAAAAGTGGTGACGTAGTTCAATTGTTAAGTCATTAACAATTTTCTATATCTGTGAAAATTTATAACTACATACTACTCCAACAAGAACAAAAAGGAGAGGAGGGTTATGACAAAAAGGGAGGGTTTAATTTTAATTAGGGATGTATGTGTCATTCAGTTGTACCAAAATAAGTAGGCCAAATACATAAGCAGCCCCTTAAACTTGTCCAAAAATTTCATGTAAACATTTATACTAAGACTATGACCTATTGAGCACTTCATCTCTATTTAACTTGGGTTATTAGACACAAAAAACTGAATAAACAAGAAAATATAATGTGTGAATTTCACACGCCAAGACATGGAAAAGAAGCCAATAAAATGAAGACACATGGCTCTTAAACATAAATTATCTCAAAAATGAAAAAGATGTTTTAGCATAATTTTTTTCAACTCTCCTCGCGGTTCTCTTTTTCTTCCCAGAAAATTACTTGGGGGTTCTCTGGCTTTAGAGCTGTAGGGGTGGCAGGTGTCACCACTTGTTAATGGTGGCGGAAGTCGATGTTGAAATGAGAGGACATGAGGGTAGGAAAAGATTCATCGGGGTCTCGGCGGTGGATCGAAAGTTGGTAGTGGCAGCACAGGCAGCGCAATTGGGCGAGGTGGGATCGATTGCAGTTGCATCCTGCGATGACATAAACTCACCAGTCACCACGTTGTATTTTTGAAGTTTTCCTTGTGAAATTTTTTGTGATGGGCTAGTATCAAGCTTTACTGGTGAAATGATCCAGAAGTATCTGCACTTGTGAATGCAGTCATCCATTGTTACAAGCCTCGGTCCACTGTTTTGGTTGTATATGAAAGATGTTCTCTTTTTTTGTCTTATATTATTTTGCAATTCAACATTTAACTTAGTTTTATGGGACTTAGCAAAGTGGGATTAGGTAAGTAAAAACTAAGTAGATGCCGATTTGGTATTCCAAATTCGATCGTGGCCGAATTTTGAGGATAAAGAAATGGAGTTTTTCAGTATATTGAGGTTGTAGAGGGAGTAATGGCATTTGGATTCGTTGGTGAAGAAGACGACCATTTAAATTTTTCTTTTTTACCTGGTCACGCGCTCAAATTAGGTGAAAGTCACTCTTTCTGCCAAGTCAGCTTTTTGTGTCTAATAGTACAGTTTAAATAGAGATGGAGTGTTTAATAGGTCATTGATTTAGTTTAGATGTTTATATGGATTTTCTCGACAAGTTTAAGAGGTTGTCTATGTATTTGGCCAAATAAGTAATTAGAGAAGTGTCCCAAAGCCAGGTCCGTTAGTGACTAATGGCATTATTAAGCCAATATGATCACTGCGATGGCATAAGTGACGTAAAATATTAATAGAGAGTAAAATATTACTATCTGGGCAAGTGATTCATTTGATCGATCGGCCAAAGTTAATTACATCTGCCAGCTAAATATATAAAAAATATTGTCACGATCCAAAATCTCATATGTCACGATGATGTCTATCTCAATACTAGGCAAGCCGGCAATCTCAATAAACCACCATATCTTCTAAATTTGAAAACATAATATTTGAATTCAGCGGAAGAAATCTCACAAATACAAAAAAAATAAACACCCCCAAAATCCGGTATCAAGGTTAACAGACTCCAGGCAGCTAACTTGGTAGTCTCCAACTAATAGCCCTCTGAGATCTAAGATCGCCGTGTCCGAAAGCAATTGGATCTGCACACAAGGTGCATATGTAGTATGAGTACAACCAATTCAATAAGTAACAAGACTAACCTCTGGGCTGAAAGTAGTGACGAGCTCCGCAGGTACAGTCCAGTATAAATAATAGTACAAAAATATAGGCATGCTTTCAAGTTCAATAGTTAAAATCAGTAGAAAGACCTCATGTAATACTTGTCACAAATCATTCGGTCACTCGGTACTTTTTATGGCCAATCAGTCCAGGGATATTCCATCCCGTATATATATACACATCGACTGACAGTCAGACACTCTGTACCGTATAAGGCCAATCCAGCCCTGGGGTAATTTATTTTCCCGAATGTAAATAATACAGACAAGATCCATGTCTAGGAAAAATTCATCACAATATAAATAAGTAAGGTAAGTTCATGCCCTGGAAAATTCATCCTGAATATATAATCATCTACGCTCACTAGGGGTGTGTACAAACTCCGGAGGGCTCTTTCATCCCAAGCGCTATATAAAGCCGATATGACCTACTGCAGCGTGCAGTCCGATCCCATAATAATAATAAAGCCTATAAGGTCTGCTGCTGGTGGGCAGCCCCGATCCATATAATAATAATATATATAAAGCCAATATGGCATGCTGCGACACACAACTCGATCTCATAAATATTATCACAATGGATGAATATTACTGAGTGTGAAATGTACATTTTTAAAATAATTAATTTAACAGCAACACGACCCCATGGGTCCCAAAATATCGGCACGTAGCCTAAACATGATCTTTAATAAGATCCTCAGCTCAAATCCTCCAACACGTGAGAAATGTTCAGATAATAACATGACTCTTTAATTTTTACGACTTTCACATAATTTATTCAAGTCACAATTTCAATGGTGCACGTCCACACGCTCATCAACTATCGTGTGCGTCACCTCCAAATAATTTGTAAAACACCAATTCGGGGATTCATACCCTCATAACCAAGTTTAGAAGTATTACTTACCTCAAACTGTGTAATTTCTTATTCCGATATTCCATTGCCTCATGAATTGGCCTCCAAATGCTTCGAATATATCCATAAATAATCCGATTCAGTCAATAAAAATTATTGAAATTAATTCCATATGAAAACATAAATTTTCCAACAAACTCCGAAATTTAACTCAAAAATCGCCTGTGGGACCCACGTCTCGGAACCCGACAAAAGTTATAAAATCCGAAAACCCATTCAACCACGAGTCTAACCATACCAATTTTACCAAAATCCGACCTCAACTCGACCCTCAAATCTTCAAATTAAACCAAGAGGGTTTTCTAAATTTTTCAACTTAATTCATCCATTAAATGTTAGAAATAACCATGGATTCGGATAATTTAACAAATAATGAGTTAAAAATACTTACCCCGTTGTTTTCTATAAAAATCTCCCAAATATCTCCTCTATCCGAGCTCCAAATCGGTAAAAATAAAAAATTGGACGAAGTTTCATTTTCAGAACTTAAACTCTCTGCCCAGTCATTTGCTCTACACGATCGCGGACAACCACACGCGATCGCGAAACACAATTTTCCACTGTCCAATTGTAACCCTACGCGATCGCAATTGCCTTAACGCGATCGCGAAGCACAGAGTACCTAGCTCTACGCGATCGCATTGAGCAAACGCGTATCCCAGCTTCCTCTCCAATTTCCCTATGCGAACGCGACATTTACCACGCGTTTGTGTAGCATAGCCTGGCCAAACCTACGCGATCGCAGTTGCCTTCACGCGATCGCATAGAACAATCTCACCTCTGACCAAACAAGCCTATGCGATCGCGGACCTTCTCACGCGATCGCATAGAAGGAAACCAGTGACAGAAAACCAGCATTCTTCAGCTAAAATGCCAAGTCCAAAATTGATCCGTTAGCCGTCTGAAACTCACCCGAGGCCCCCGAGACCTCAACCAAATATACCAACAAGTCGTAAAACATGATACGAACTTAGTCGAAACCTCAAATCACATCCAACAACGCTAAAACCACGAAGCATATCCCAATTCAAACCTAATGAACTTTGAAATTTCCAATTTCTACAAACGACGCCGGAGCCTATCAAATTACGTCCGATTGACCTCATATTTTACACACAAGTCATAAATGAAATAACGGACTTATAAAATTTTCAGAATCGGATTCCGACCTCGATATCAAAAAGTCAACCCCCCGGTCATACTCAAAACGACAGGTCGGGTCGTTACATTCTCCCCCTCTTAAACAAATGTTCGTCCTTGAACGGGTTTAGAATTATACGTGGAGTCTCAAATAGGTGTGGATATTTGATCTGTATCTCCCGCCCAGTCTCCCAAGAAGCTTCTCCGACTAGCTGGCCTCTCCAATGCACTTTCAGTGAAGCTATGTTCTTTAATCTAAACTTTCGAACCTGTCGGTCTAAAATGGCCACCGACACCACATCATAACTCAAATTACCATCCAACT